GCTCTCATGTGACATTTCTTTCTTTTCCTTTTCCTTTTTGTCAGTTGTCTGGTCGCTATCCCTGAGCTTTTCAGCTCAAGTCTAATGCTCTACTACTTGAACCACAGCATCACCTATGGTTTTCTGGTGGTTATTGGAGATCACAGTTTCACAGACTTTCCTACCTGAGCTGGTTTTGAACTGTGATCTTCAGGTCTCAGCCTCCTGAGTAACTAGGATTACCAGGCATGAGCCACCAGTGCCTGGCTCAGTGTGATATTTCTATACATGTATGCATCATGCAGCCATCAAGTCCACCTTCCTTCCCTACCCCCCACTTACCCTTTTTAATCCATAGTAATCAATCACTGTTGTTCTTTCATGTCCATGTTAGTGTCTGTAAATGGGAGAGAACAGCCAATACTTGTCTTTCTGCTTGTTCATTTATAACCCTTCACGTAAAGTCCTCCTGCTGCATCCATTTTGCGGATTTCTTTCTTCTTCCCTTTCTTCTCTTCCATTTCCTCCTTCTCCCTACCCCTCTTTATGAGGCTTGAACTCAAGGCTTTTCACTCTCTCTTGGTTTATTGCTCAAGGTTGGCACTCTACCACTTGACCATACCTCAACTTCTGGCCTTTTGCTAGTTAATTGGAGAAAAAAGTTTCACAGAATTTCCTGCCTGGGCTGGCTTTGAATCACAGTCTATATCTCAGCTTCCTGAGTAGGCATGAATCCTGCTGCCACTGCCCATCATGGGCCACCCTCCCCTCAACCCAGTGCCCTGCTGATTTCTTTCTTCTTGATGGCTGAGTAAAGTTCTATTTGTGTATATGCACCACATTTTCTTTATCCTATCTTTAGCCAGTGGGCACAGAGGCTGATTCAACATCTTAGTTTTTGTGAATGGTGCTGACATAAATGACTGAAAGCTAAATGACTGATGGAGTACATATGGAGTACATGGTGGTAGTGGTGGGGTACAGATGGGAGCAGATGGAGGTGGGATATGCTAGGTCCTGGCCTGGCTTTTACAAAGGAAGCTTATGGGCTGGGAAGGTGGCTTAGTGGTAGAGTGCTTGCCTTGCATGCATGAGGCCCTGGGTTCCATTCCTCAGCACCATATAAGCAGAAAAAGCTAGAAGTGGTGCTGTGGCTCAAGTGGTAGAGCACTAGCCTTGAGCTGAAGAGCTGAGGGACAGTGCTCAGGCCCAAAGTTCAGGCCTCATGTCTGACCAAAAAAAAAAAAAGGGAAGCTTCTAAGTGATGTTAGGATAGGATTTTCTTAGTGCCCTGCCCCCTAGAACATGGATAGAAAGCAACACAACAACCAAAGTGTAGATTGATAGATTGATAGAAGAATCTGGAGGGGAAATTGATGTTAGTGTTTGCTTCTTGGATATTTCAGGTTTTTACTCAAAGTCTACCTTCTCAGGAAGACTTCTCTACTCATTGTAGCCCAAGGAGCCCACCTCTGCCATGTTTATAAGTGTGTGAGCTCCATGATGTGAAGATGTTGCCTGGCACAAAGCCACTGTATGGGGATGGCTGTGTACCACAGCTAAGACCCAGTTTCTTCCTGAACATTATCAATCCTGAGCCTCTTGTGTGTTGACTGTGTCAATTGTCTTATTATAATCTGTCAAAAGAGACAGAAAGATTCATGAAGGTAGGAGACTTGGCTCTTTTTATTGCTAGGAGCTAGAACAACTCTGAGAAACAGCTGATGCTTAATTAAAAATTTACTGAATACCCGAGGGCACGCAGCCTTCCTAGAAGAAATGGTAAAATTCTTTTCTTTATAGGAAGGGGCTCTGAGTTCCCAGCATTATTTTGTAATAATACAGAGGAGCTTCTGGGTCCTTTTTCTTTTAAACCCTAAGTATTCTAAGGCAGAGTTTCTTGGCCTTGGCAATGATGATATTTATTTGGGATGTTCTCTGGTATGGGGCTTGATCTCCATTGAGCAGACTCTCTGGCTTCCATCTACCACAATCATGCCCACTTACATTGTGACATCCAGAGATGCCATTGCCACATGTCCTAGGGCAGGATGTGGGCGAAATCATCCAGTTGAAAAATCCCAGGTCACTAGGAGCGACACCTCAGTGAATGGCTCCAATCCAGTGAACAGTCTCTTCATGGAGTGTTATGCTGCGGCGTGCCTCTCCTCATGAAGCAGCTCTCCCCTAGTTTGGCATCAATCACATCCTAAAAGAAAGGAAGACAAAGGAAGGAAAGTCAGTGGACAAACTTGCATGGTGAGATGTGGCTTTTAATGCCAGAACAATTCCTCAAATGTCAGCAGGAAGAGGCATAGTGTTAGACATAATTAAAGTACATAAATGAAGGGCTGAGAGGCTGTGGCCTGTGGCACATCACACACATATCACACAGACACAGCCACCAGAGTTGGCTAGGGAGGGCTTCTGCAGAGATAGGGACTGACCTGCTCACAGCCTGTCCTGTTGTTCATGGATAGCTTCAGCCTTGACCATGGTATAGCATGCTGCTGCCTCTGTGCCTACAGAGGATCCCAGGACTCTGCATTCTGCAGAGGACCCGAGGATTGTTGGGCTAGCCAAATGTGGCTGGAGGCTTCTAGGTTAAAGCAGCTGTGGCATCCTTATTAAACTTAGTTACAGAGGATGTAGCAAGAAAAGGATCCAGATGTGTTAGCCAGATGAAAAGACACTAGGAAGAACTTATATATTCATTTTTAATGCTTAGTTGGAAAGAAGTGATGGAATAAGATATCTGAATTTCTAGGTTCTCTTTTTTATCCTTGTTTATCATGGCCATGAGAAAACAAGGAGGTGTGTGTGTGTGTGTGTGTGTGTGTGTGTGTGTGTGTGTGTGTGTGTGTAAGATACAGCCTGCCATATGATATCTTTTCTGAAATTCTTTCATGGAAGAACTTATCCAAGGAAAACCAAGAAAAGAGTTTTGGTGTTTTTTTTTAAACAAACAGTACATTTCCATGATTACATCATAAGCGTTCACCTCTTCCATATTAATGTCATGTATTTTAGTGGAAACTTCAACTTCTTTGGAACTATTTTTTTTTTTTTTGGGTCCGGTCATGGGGCCTGAACTCTGGGCCTGGGCGCTGTCCCTCAGTTCTTCAGCTCAAGGCTAGCGCTCTACCACTTGTGCCACAGCGCCACTTCCGGCTTTTTTTTTTTTCTTTTTGCTTATGTGGTGCTAAGGAATCGAACCCAGGGCCTCTGGCATGCAAGGCATGCGCTCTACTACTGAGCCACCTTCCCAGCCCTCTTTGGGACTATTTTTGCTCCAAATGTTTTCTGTTCCCTCACAGTTCCTATGTTGACATCCTAATCTCTTCAGTGGCTACAGGAGGTACAACCTGTGGGAGATGATTGGGTCATGAAGATGGAGTCCTCTTTAAGGGGAATAAATAATAATGATTAATAATTAATAAAAGACACCTGAGAGGGACTTGGTGCCACCTCCTGTGTAAAGTCACAGCTTCAAGGTGCTGTCTGTGACTTAGAAGTCGAGCCATCACCAGACATGGGATCTGCTATGATTTGCTCTTAGTCCACCTAGCTTCCAGACAGTAGCAAATTCCTGTTGTTGGAAAATTACTTGCATTATAGTACTTTGTCAGAGGATCCTGGACAGACCATGGTGCCTGGTACATATCTGCTGCTGTTTTTCCCCATGGCGCTGTCTACTTGCCCTTAGCTCTGAGGTCTTTGCATGAATGTACAGGTGCGTGTGGACTGGCTCAAGCCCTCGTCTATCTCCTTCCTATTGAGATGTGGTGTGTTTGTAGTTGTTACTTCTGTTGATATCTTCCTGATAGAAGATTATGTCCTATTAGGGCTTTGTTGTAGCTGGTACAGAACTTTGTGAGAGCTGAGATTTGCTCTTGTTTGTCAACAACCATGCAGTTGGTGGTCAGTACATGTATGTTGAATAAACTAGTTTGCTTGGTTGATGTGAAATAGTAGAACTGAGTAAAGATGATGCAGACAGGTAACTTGGGTGCTTAATTAAAGGATACTTCATATACTTCCATATTTGTGTTCCTGTATTGGAACTTTTACCATTTTGTCCTTTGGAAAGATTATGACTTCCTAATCACATTGATCTTGTATCTTATGCTGAAGTTACTGTGTGAGGAAGACAGCCTTGTGGACTGCTGCTTCTTCCTGCTTCTCTCTCTTCCTTCCTGCTGCCTCCATCTCTTCCCTTCTCTCTTTTTTTTATTACACATTTTCTACCTAAGTTGGTTTTTTTTTGGGGTCTGGTCGTGGGGCCTGAACTCTGGGCCTGGGCTCTGTCCCTCAGCTCTTCAGCTCAAGGCTAGCGCTCTACCACTTGAGCCACAGCGCCACTTCCGGCTTTTTTCTTTTGCTTATGTGGTGCTGAGGAATGGAACCCAGGGCCTCAGGCATGCAAGGCAAGCGCTCTACCACTGAGCCACCTTCCCATCCCCTCTCCCTTCTCTCTTTTCTCCTCTCCCTTTTTCCTACCTTCTTCCTTACTTTTTCCTCTTACTTTCTGCCTTCCATCCTCCTCTTCCTCCTTTTTCACATGTTCTTATTAAGTAACCTGGGCTGGCCTTGAACTCAAGATTCTCCTGCCTCTGCCTCCAGAGTAGTGGGGGGATTACAGGTGAGCTCTCTGAGCACAACATGTTTCTTTGGGTAGGTTGGAAGCTAAGTCCATTCAGTTCTCAGTAATGTGTGTGTGTGGGGGGGGGGCTGTTTTAAGAATGTAGGCTCTCACCATGGCCAGTATGTTCTTCTCTTTCCTAGGATCCACAGGGACTCCTCAGTCTTGGTTTTAGAATCCACAAAACCCTCCACTCCCAATTGTTTAGTGTCTTCTCAACAATCCAGCCTGGCCTGAAAGCCAGGGAAGCCTAGAGCCCAGCACGGTCCTGTTGCTCTTGGCAGACATGGGTTGTTTACCTTGGTATCTGGGGGCTGGAAAGGTATGGGAGTGGAAGGGAATGACAGTGCTCTAGTAATGCTGCTGCTTCTTGTTTCAGGGTGTAGGAGAAGATCCTCAGACAGCGCTGGCACTGAACATGGACCCCGTGTTGGTGAAAAAATCGGACCCTGAGGGCCCTGCGGTGCTCCTTCCAGAGAGTGCACTTTCCATCCGGATAGGTAGCACTGGACTTTTTTCAGGCAAGCTCTCTGCTTCAGCCACCTGTTGAGCCAGGCAGTACAGCTTGGGGCTGGCTTGAGGATGGGGGAAATGCCAGCTGCTCTCTCTGCTTCTCCAGGCTGCTCACCCCTTCTGTGCAGAGTGAAACTGGCATTCTGGTCCCATGCGCCATTTCTCATTGGTTCTCACAGCTATCCACTTAGCATACCCACAGTCATGAATGTCATCTTTTGCTCCTTTTTCCATGTTGGATCAGTTGGAGAATGAAGGCTTTGATTGGGATGGGACTGATGGGGTTGGGAAGTTTGGGCTTTGGTCCCTGTATCTCCTTTTCTCTGGTGAATCCCAAGTGCTCTTTCTCATTTATGTGAAGATCATGTTCTCCATTCACCTGGAAACCAGGGAGTTTCTGGTTTTATTTGCAGCCAAGAAAACTATAGTTGAAAACAAAGTGGAAGTGAAGGGTAATAATTTCTAAATCTTGGAAGCACAGGCTGGTCTAGGCTGTTGACATTTGAGAATCTGTTGATGTTGTGGAATGTATTGTCTTCCATCCTCAGGTCAGACTCTTCTTCTAGGAGAAGAAAGTTGTTTCTTCCCAGGAAACCCTTAGGAGTTGTTTACCGAGAGCATTTGGCCCATTTAAGGTCTGGTTAGCATGAGGAGAGCCCCTGGACTTCTTTTTTCCTCTGAATTCATTTAGGAAGTGCATGTGGATGCTGTGATCTGCTCACCCCTAGCCGTCCCACTTCTGTAAACCACAGAGAGCCCATGTGTGGACACTTGAGAATGGCACCCCTGTTTGCATGGCATGCACTCTTGAGTGATGAGGAAAATCAACTCGGTGACAGGTTTTGTATTCATGGGAGTGACACAATGGGACAAAGTCCTTTCTCATTCCCATTGTTGGCCGTTTCACTTGATATTTTTGCCATCTGTAGGCTAAGAAGACATCTATCCCTCAGGGAAAGTCAGTATAAGAAAGAGTTAAAGCCAAGCTACACCCAGCCCAATCTGAATGGTCAGGTCTATGCATTATTCACAGAGACCTTGATTGTCTTTTCCACTCTACTTAATCTCAGTATTTTCCATGACTTCCCCTGTAGGGTAATTTCAGGACCCAAACTTTGTCTAAACAGGAGCTCAAGCCACTGGGGATTGGAACATCACTGCTGCCCTCACCTCTGGCCACGCATTACATCAATACTCAAACCCACTGAGGCATTGCCTCCTATCTTCTCCCTGGGGAAGGTAGTCAAAGATGGTTTCTTGTGATGAGGCTGGATGTCATGTTCCCATAAAACGTACCATTTTCTGTGTCAAGTCCCATGCACACAACCATGTAAGCTTTCCCACAGATTCTGCATAGCAGTGCCCTGGCCCCCATCTGCCCCTCTGAAGACTGTAGTCCTGATTCCGAGTGTCCTATAGGATGTCAGTACTGGCCAGACTTTATTCTGTTCTGTTGCTTGTCATAAGATAAACAACATGTCCAACATGCAGATCACAGCTACTTATGTGCCTTTGACCTAAGAAAGGTCCTGTTCTATGGGGGAAGGCTGTCCTTGCAGCCTTAGGAAGGGACATATAAGGCTGTGACAAGGGAAGGGTATACCCTCCTATACAGTCAGATCAGTGATTGATCCTTGTCGTCAGTGGGATGCCAGTATCATAGTCAGATTGCCCTTATGTCTCCATTGTTTAGCTTTAAAGCACAAGGAGAGTCTGGCAGTCAAAAATCCTTTCCCTGGACTTCTTCCAGTAGATTCAGGAAAGACAGGACAGGAGGTGACTGTGTTGAAAACCTTGAGGATTGATGGGTTATCCTGGGCAAGCCAGGGTTAAGTGGTGGTGGGGCCTTATGGTGGGAGATACTGTCACCTCCCCTTCTCTGAACACCAGGCATAACCTGTTGCCAGGTTACCAGGCAACCCTCCTAGCTGTTGCTAACTATTCAGATAGAGAGGCAAATGCAGCTCTTGGGGAGCGTGAAGATGGTTTGCCCAGATCAAGAGCACTCAGCCATCTCTTCTCACCTGGACACACCTGTGGGTGTCAGGCATCTGGGGACTCTCAGAACTGATAATGGTTATTTGATGAGGGACCTCATGCACATAGCATCTGAATGTGTACTATTTGTACCATCTGGATTTGCCCTTAAGCTCCCTGTAACTGGAGCAAGGAGCTTGGTTTAATGGGTATTTAGTGAGAAACATCAGCCTTTAAAAAATAATATTTGGAGCTGTTGTGATCATGTCCTGAAATTGGTTCAGCAAGAGGAAAAGCTAGAAAAGCAATGTTGTGGGAGAGACTTTCTTCAGCTGCCTTGAGTGGTGGCACAGCAGAGCTAGGGAAAACATTTATGAGACACTTTCCTATTTATGTCTGTACCAGCGTTTTACAATAGCAGCTATTCTCAAGAGTGGGGATATTTGGGGATTTAGCTAGCCCCAATTTCTTTTAAAACTATCAGTCTTTCTCTTGCTTGTTCATTCCTGGTTTCTTGCCTGTCCTCCCTGTCTCTTCTTTTTTCCATCTTTTCTATCCATCCGTTTTTCCATTTATTTATCTCAACTATCTTTTAAATAAAAATCTAATAATGAGGATTAAAAATAGCAAGTAATTTTGTTCCCAACCTCAAATCACATATGGTTTAGCTCACCTATCTCAGACACAAATACTGCTTCTGGCTTGTGTGTTCTTCAGGAATAGTTTGTCTCTACACTCATAACAGACTCTGTACCCTGAAGCTTTGGCTTCGTCATACATTTTGGTGTAGTGTGAGACATTCTTAAATTCATCCTATTGCTGTAATATTGACCATGACATTGCAGAATTGATAGTCATTTAAACTCAGTCCAGTCTTTGCAACCATGAAAGATTATAGAAAGAACATTTTTATTTATTGTTTACTTTTAAGGTATTTATTTATTGTCGGTCGTGGTGCTTGAACTCTGGGCCTGGGCGCTGTCCCTCAGCTCTTTAGCTCAAGGCTAGCATTCTGCCACTTGAGCCACAGCGCCACTTCCAGTTTTCTGGTGGTTAATTGGAGATAAGAGTCTCACAGGTGTACCTGCCTGGGCTGGCTTTAAACTGCAGTCCTCAGATGTCAGCCTCCTAAGTAGCTAGGATCACAGGCGTGAGCCACTGGCAACAGCTTATTTTTGTTATCTTTAAGTAGTTGTACAAAGGGGTTTCATCTTAGCATTATCAGTTTATGAGCACAGTGCATCTTGATCAATGTCACCCCTTCCATTGTTCTCCATTTCTCCCAATCCCACCCATCCAAGAAGGAATATTTGTAATCTATTTGTTTCTGTGGATATTTGCACTTTGAGACATTAGGCCAAGGGTTAGTAAGAAATTAAGTCAAGAGTTTGTCACCTGGAAAGGCATTAAAGGCATTAAAGGGTCCATTAAAGGGTTCATGAGCCTCTGAAAATCTTAAGCAGAACATATAAGCATATGTGGGCACGTGTGTTTTGCCCAGGGCTGGCCTTGGGCTGTGATCCTATTTCTAATAGCTGCTATACAGATGAAAAGGGCTATAGCTTTCACCTCATTTCATTCCTGATTCCAGTGTGTTCTCAGTCTCTTGGGATTCTCTGCCTCAGTTTCCCCATTCAACTCAGTTGGACCTTTACCTCCTAACTAGCACCCACTATAAGATAGTTGCTTTTGCCCTCTCCTCTCTGGATTGGGGCCTGTCACCTTAGTCTTCTTTATTAAAGGATGGAATGATGCTGATTGAGTATTAATGTGCCAAGCAAAAAATTGTTTTCAGAGGAATAGAGAGGGAAAAAGCTCAATAGTAATTAATAATAAAAATAACCAGGAGCTCTTAGTAAGAAAATATCACTGACATGGCCTCTTAAACAGGGCTCTGTACAGGGACCAGAGACTCTGAGCATGTTTTGACTCATGGACCATTACCAGGCTGGATGTGCTTTATGGATTCTCTTTTGGCTTCTGAAGAATCTTATATTTGGCCCAAGTAATGCTTAGCACTCAAGTGGCACCTTTCCCACTTCCTTGCCCTTTTCTTTTTCCTTTCAAAAAAGTAGTCTTGACTTTCTGGGCTAGGCTGCCATTTCAGAGTTCATTTTCACGTGGCCTGGTCTGGAGGCAACTTGACATTGATCTGAGTCAGCTTGGGCTGCTGTGAGAAAACCCCACTGGCAGAAAGGCCCAAGCAGAAGACCTTTGTTCTGGCTGCCCTGGGTAATGAAGTCTGGGGCAGGGTGGGTTGCTTTAGTCTGAGACCTCTCTCCTTGGCCTGCAGTGGCCAGCTTCTCCCTGCATTCTCAAGGTGGGTCTATGTAGGCACACATGTCCTATGGGATCAAGGCACACCCCAATAACCTTGTTTTTTATAGAATTACACTGTAAAGATCCTGTCTCCAAATACAGTTTTATCCTGAGAGACTGGGTGTTAGGACTTCACCTGTGAATCTGGATAGTGGGGGAGCAGTCACCTTTCACCCTGTCACCTGTCAAAGTGCCAGACTTGTTCTCTATTTTGTACTGGTGTCTTCTAAAAGGAGACCCAGGTGTCAAGAGAACCTGGTTCCCTTTGTTTCTCTTTTTCTTTGGCTAACATGACCTGGATGGGCTGGGAGTGCTGGGGAATCAGTATGCAAAAGAGTAGAATGATACTGTTACTCAAATGCAGAGAAAGTCCAATAATTTGTGTGTATGTATGCCAGTTCTGGGCCTTAAATTCAGGGCCTGGGCAGGAGTGTTGGTGCTCAAGGCTAACTGTACAATTGGATAACTCCACTTTCAGCTTTTTGGTGATTAATTGGAGATGCGTTTCACCGACTTTTACTGCAGAGACTGGTTTTGAACCATGATCCTCAGATCTCACCCTCTGAGTAGCTAGGATTGCAGGCATGAGCCACTAGACCCTGGCAAGTCCAATGATTTTAAGCTTCATGTTGGCAGGAGTGCAGCCCTGGCTAACAAAATTAAAGGTTTGTCCATTGCTGACCACCTCACTCCTTGAAATGATGGATGAGGA